TTCTCATTAGAAATCTGTGCGCAAAAGTGCTTTTTGCACGCTAGCGTGGAAAAGGTTTTTGAAATTCGAACCTGACGATGGACTGTGGTACCTACACCTAACTTTTTCGTTCAACGTGCAACTACGTGATTTGTCGTACATTATTTATGTAATTTAGATCCTTTGATATATTTTATTCTTATTATGGTTGGTATTAAATTAACCACGATAACTAATTTTGGTTATAAAATTATTTTAATTTGTCGAAGAACTAAAATAATTTCAATAATCACACAAAATTATAAGTACAATCAAGAATAAAAATTTTTGTGATGCAAATTCAGAACGCATCCGAAGACAAACTTTTTCTTTTGATTAAGAAAAAATAGTGACGCGTTCCGAAACGCGATTCATCATAAGTACATTAAGTATATATATAATATTAATCCGTTGGTATAATTTATTTATTACCATTAACATTAAATTGACAACGATAACACTAATTTTGTTTTACTGCATTATTTTAATTTGTCGAAGAACGAAAATAATTTTGTTGATCACATAGAAGTATAATACAAAGAAGAAGAAAATGTATGTGGTGTAAATTCTCTAGACTTTTGACGTACACGAAGTGGTAATACTGAGAATCGAGACAGAAAAACGACGGAAGCACAGCAGTGTCCCTCATGTGGCAGTAACAACTTCGTGTCGGCGGTGGTCGACTCCATGATGAATGTGTGGAACAGAGACAAAGCTATAAGAATATTGATGAACTTTTGCAACAAAATAATAATAAAAAACGTAAGTATAAAATAGAAACAACGCAGATGGAGTGTCAATTCAAATATTGTTTTTTTTGTAATGTTGCGGAAAAAAATTCACGGTATGGGATATTGCAAGTTGTAACAAAAAAAAAATGGAAATATTATTGTTCGATACAGCTGCACTCGATAACAAGTGAAGTGATGAAAACGGTGCATTGTTAAAATGTATTGCTAATGTACATAATAGTGTTACAATATCTTACATGGTCCTATAGTTGTTATTTAAGTTTTCTTTTGTAAATAAAGAATGAACGAGGTAAAGTGGATGGAGAGGGCGGACGGGACGCTCGCTCGTTAATGAGTAGGTATTTCAATGCGCTCACGCACTTTTACCGTGCGAGAGGCTGCCTCTCGCCACTGAAACTGATCTGATCTTTGGACTGATATTTCATCGAGGTAACATAGAAAATACAAGAGCGAACCTTTCACCCCTAACTCCACTTCCTGTCGTAGAAAATCGGCTTTTTATTTGGAACCTTCGATCAAACCAGTCATAGGTGCGAGCGCGCACAATTATAAAAAGGAGGACGGACCTCGAGTCAGTAGAGAGTAACTTGTGGGAGGTTTTAATTCGCAGGTCACTGCGTATAATTCCCAGTGTCGTTGGGCATACCATCCGCTCCCTCCCCGGAAATAATACTTATTAGGCATTAAGCTTTCAAACTGTAAATTTGTAAGCGAGAACTCCCCTAGTCAGTAACAGCCTGTAATAATATTGTGAAATTGGAACTTAACGATGAATTGTGGTGCACCGAGTTACATATTTACAGTTTGAAAGCTTAATGCCTAATAAGTATTATTTCCGGGGAAGAGCAAAAATCTAACGGATGCCATGGGTCCGGATCGGATGGTATACCCAATGACACTGGGAATTATACGCAGTGACCTGCGAACTAAAACCTAATCCCACAAATTACTCTCTGCTGACTCGAGGTCCGTCCTCCTTTTTACAATTGTTCGCGCTCGTGCCTGACTGGTTTGATCGAAGATTCCAAATAAAAACCCGATTTTCTACGACAGCATGTGGAGTTAGGGGTGAAAGGTTCACTCTTGTATTTTCTAGTTATCTCGATAAAATCTCAGTTCAGAATGAATTTACCGTGGCGAGAGGCAGTATTTTGTAAGCGCGTGCACGCGTTCAAATACCTACTCATTAGCGAGCTAGTGTCCCTTCCGCTCTCTCCATCCACTTCACCCTGTTCATTCTTTATTTACAAAAGAAAACTTAAGTAACAATTGTAGGGCAATGTAAGATATTGTAACACTATTATGTATATTAGCAAAACATTTTAACACTGCACCGTTTTCATTTCACTTGTTATCGAGTGCAGCCGTATTGAACAATAATATTTCCTTTTTTTTTGTAACAACTTTCAATATTCTATACCGTGCATTTTTTCGGCAACATTACAAAAACAAAACAATATTTGAATTGACACTCCATCTGCGTTGTTTCTATTTTATAGTTACATTTTTTATTATTTTTGTTGCAAAAGTTCATCAATATCCTTACTTCTTTATCTCTGTTCCACACATTCATCATGGAGTCGACGATCGCCGACACGAACTTGTTACTGCCACGAGAGGGACACTGCTGTGCTTCCGTCGTTTTTCTGTCTCGATTATCATTATTACCACTTATTGTACGTCAAAAGTCTAGAGCCTCGTACCTGGTTGGTCAGGATTTTTTTTAGTCTGGGTGTGCGTCTAGGTATAGAGAACCCTCGGAGATTTTCAGTATTTGTTTCATATTCTGCGTCCACAATAGGGAGCGAATATGAGACTTGGATGAATATAATATGCTACTGTAGATATCATAGAAGGCACACACTACAAGTATTGACAATCTGTGCATGCACACAGCGCATTATGAATCTTAGTCACTGTGTTAGGACGGATGTAGCACAGGCTGAAGAGGTCGTGCCTATCGATGTACGGCAGGTGGTTATCATCGGCGATGAAAACAAACCGGTAATCTAATTTTGTGTTGTCATCACAAAGGCCCCAAAGGCATGGGTTTTCGTCGTCGTCGATTGGAGCGAAGCGAGCTTTTTACTTCAGATTATTCGCAATTTCTGTCGAAAGTCACCACCACCCTGTAGTTATTAATTACCCACATCCTGGGGGTCTACTCTCGATCTCTGTACGACATCCATCCGAAACAATTACTGCCAAACAAGCACTACTTGTCCAAATGAAAAGACGCGTGAAGCGAATGAAGCTTCATTCTTGATACTTGTCTCTTAATTTTGTCGAATATCACTTATTTGACAGTACGAGTTTTGGACGAATATCGAACGGAGATCGAGAGTAGACCCCCTGATGTTGACTCCATAAATTTTTTACCACAGCTGCAGACTGTATTTGACTCTTGAGCAACAAAATACTCTAAATACAATGTTTCTGTTTTTTTAAACTTCAAATAGTACCATACAGTACATCAGTTACACAAAAAAAGTCAGTGATAAATTGTGAATACGTGATTTCAACTTCCAATTAAAAGGCTAACTGGAAGTTATAAACGGACAAATCACAAACGCGCATGGAAATAATCATATATAAAAGCAGTCCGTTACGCTGGTTACCCTTTTATTGATTATCAGAGAACGTTTCCACGACTCGAACATAACTACACATATATTTTATAATAACTCCTGTTATTGTACATATCTGTATGTGTGAGATGTATCTCTGAAACGAGGCTGCAAGGTACCTACATCAATACGTCATGGCAGAATATACATTTATCGGCTTAAACTTTATATCGTGTTAATCAAATCTTATGGGTTGTTCATTTCACAAGAATTTTCGTGCATGTATCAAATGTTATATATAATGTTATATAAAATGTTTCGTGCATAGTGTAGGGGACTTATAGGGTGCTTCCATCTATTGTCTAACAGAGCTTACACAAAAAAAAGTTGAAATTTTGGATAAGTTACAGCAACAATACATGGCTTGCTCGGTTTCGTAACAATTCACAAGTCCTTGGGCAATTATACATTTAGTTCAAAACGAGTTCATGACATGAACACTTCCTGAAGGACGATGATCCTGTGGGTAGTTACATACTTACTACGTATATTTTGAAAGCTGTCACGCAAACAAGAAACGCAAAATTTTGCGCCAAACTACTACCATACGATCTTCTACATCTAACGTGCCAGATAGGAAATAGAAGCTTGTCTACCCATGGAAACAACATCGCGCTACCGCCGTCGCCTATGGCTTTATAAGTTTGATATTCATTATACCTGGTACTATATTTTCTATCAACTTACACCATCATTATTATCATTATCACCCCGTTTATACGTCCCGTTGCTGGGCAGGCGAGGGTTTAGGCCTTTATGGATAGTCCGCTACGCCAGTCCAATGCGGGTTGGGGACTTCACGCGTTTTCCGGGAGCTGTGAACCTTCTTCGACGTGTAGGTTTCATCACAACCATTAGGCTACCACAAAAACCTTTAACGTTTATTGCATACTACCCTTTCTAATTATACCAATTATTTAGAGGTTTGACAGATAGTGATGTGCGCTGAGGAACGCCGCAAATTTCATAACTTCCAACTGTAGAGGTACACCGACTTTACTAGCTGGCTGCAGTAGTAGACATAAAGTTTAACTCTGTCATGCTGTTCGGTATATGAGCTATGCATATACTTACTTACTTATTTACTTAGGTAGAGAAGTTTCTCGGAACTGTTATGTATTGTGGAAGTTTTGCACGTATGTTTCATAAACGCCTATAATGTTATAATACAAAAACACGAATAAATATCATAATAATATTTAATGGTTATCCAAAATAATACTTTAAAAAAGTACAAAAGTAGTTAAACTTTACATAAAACATTACAAAGGTATAAAAAATGAGAAAAGGTTTTCAAAACGCAAAAGTAGAGTAATTATCCATGTAAAATAAATAAAATAATTACAACAATCATTTTCAAAAGTTTTAGATATGGAATATTTTTTTTAGGTAACAAATAAGTAGCTTGTGTTAACTGTAAACCATATTTCAAAAAACAAGACAATACATAAAGGGCATCGACCTTGGATTGACGACACCATTCTTATGTACATCACTATATTTCTAGAGTGTTCTACTATTTTTAATTTACAGTAGAACTTCCACAAAATTGAAAATTATTTGATGTAATAAGCTTAAATATATGTAAATAAATTATTTTTACGCGTTAGAAATATGAAATACTAAAACAAGTTCAAAAAATTTGAATGGTACGAATAATTTCAATATTTCAAAAGTCTATCGACCTAAGTAAAATTTTCATTGTTTTACAAGATTTCTAGTATCTGCCGAAGAATTCCGAATAACACCGACGACTAAGTAGTCATGTACTCGGTTCTTAGTTGTCAACTCTATCTTTAGGTTTGTATGTGTCGAAGTAGTCGCGATATTGCGGTTCTTTTACAGCGGTAGTACCAGGAAGGCCACAGTTAATCAACAATTGTTTCGTCGTTTCTTCATCCATATTTTTGTTCTCGCACACATCGGACAAGAACCGTAACCATTCATCGAATGATATTTCCGATTTACTGCAATAAAAAAAATGTTGATATAAATAATTTGTTTATGGGGCGATTGTATAAATTTTAAAGGCAAACGTATTGACCTGTAAATATAATTAAAATATGATTCTTTCGACCCACATTTATACGAACAGTCTGCTAACTGCATGAATGTGCAACGGGTGCTAATGAAAAATGAGGAAGTTTAAACAAAATATACTTACACATTTTATTGAATAAATTACACAATGCACAAATGTATGAATACAAGCCAAGAAAAATAATAGGAGAATAATAATGTAATAGGGCTCCAAAAACAAATATATTTCAATTTTGAATTTTTATTACAAAAAAATAGCCTCAGTGTGTGGAGTAGTAAACCATTACAATAACAAATTATAGAACTTATGCAATCTTTACACATGCTTGTTTCGAATACCAACATTCTTTACGCTTTTAGTAGTACAATGTTTTATACTTAGCGCAGCGGTATTAGTAAGTAGGTAAAGTCAAATTACTTTAAGAAAGTTTACGATTTCCTAATTATGTTACTGAGCAAAGAACCAGTATTCCGAAAATCATAATCCTTGTAAATATTTTTATTTTTAATTGTGTTTATAAATGTGCCTTTTTCATTGGACTAACCACATATTAAACTGCCTCTGAGGTCGAACGGTTACCACCCTGGACTGCCACGCGGAGGTCCCGGGTTCGAATCCCGGGCCGGGAGAAATATTTGTATGACTTAGATAGATAAACTAAAAGACTTAATAATAATTCATATTGACATATCTACACATATATTTTTAATGAAGTGTATGTCTATTAGTGCTAAACATTATGTACTCAAGCGGCAATTATCGAAAAATATTTTGGTCTGAAATATTTTTTATATGAAGCTGATGTGCATTTGATCTCGTTTACCAGCTTCATTAAAATGTAAAAGTTTAACCTGTATTAATACAGTGCTCTTGAAGTTTTTCTGTAAAGCGTCGTGACAAGCGTCAGACAGCGCTACTACCTCACGGCAGTGTAGCGCAAATAGGTTAAGAAGTTGTATCCTCGCCGCAAAACCAGCTTAGCTTAAAGCCTTTGAAAGCGCCTGCCATTCAGCAAGTATAGAGTATAATCAAAATAATTTCATAGGTAGTGTGTGTACTATCGCTATCGTTAACCACTAGCCACAAACGGTATGACGTCAACCTCTACATAGTGATTAGACGCAAACAATATTATTCCTATGATCATAATAAATAAACGATCATTGTACATCATAATGAAAACATAGTATTGATTGAAATTAATGACCATAGGGTATCTAGCAAAATACATCTTTTATACAAAAGTAAAGGCATACTTGGTTGGGTCTGAAGCATGTAATTATATTTACAACATTTATTCTCCTAAGACCCAGCAAACTGCAATGGGAAAAGCTCTAAACGCCTTACATTAAAATGCCCAAACAAGTATGCCCTCGGTTTTGTACGAATAAAGTATTTTTGTAGATATCCTATAGTCGTGTACAATATATAGTGCTAAATTTGAATGTGATATTTTCATTATAATGTTCACTACACGTTTATGTGATTATAGGGATATTATAGTGTAGGTCTATACATTTTGTTGTATATGAGATGTTAGGAGGTTATTTGGCGTTTAGTGCTTTTCCCATTGTAGTTTGCTGGGACTTATTTAGGAGGTTAAAACATATTATTGGAGACAATGCAATCTTACCTAAACTTATTGAATGCAACGCCAGTGTCGGTCATGGTAAGTTTTCTGTCATCCAAAATCTTGGCTTGTCGCATCCAGTAGTCAGAATTAGATAACGTAATTGTCTCCCCGCTTCTGCCTTTGTCATTAATTTTTGCGAATTCTGAAAATTGACCCTCAAGAGTAGCTTCTTCTTGACTCATTATAAATTGCAACACTCGTTTAATTTGCTGATTTAATTTAATCACTTTATTTAATTTAGCTCCAATGAACTAAATAGGTCGATACATTCAATTTACCACGACAAGATTATTTCCTAATTCAGTTTTCGCTTCCGAAGCTGAAGAATCAAATAAACACTGAAAAAATTCGTAGAAAAGCCAAAACTGAGATATCAAAAAATATAACATTTTGGTTGTAATTTTCTCAATTTTCATTAAATATTCTTAAACTTTTCTTTTTTGTTGATACTGAACAATATATACTTTTTTAATTTCATTCTATGACATAATATATTTTTCGTCTAAATAGACGATTTTAAAACTTTCTTGTCATAGATAAGTATGTAAACACTGCCTTTAGTTACGCGTTGCTATGATACCAAGTTTTTATACGCCACGGACATGCCACAGAATATAACGTAATACATAAATAATCCGCTTTGATCTAAACAAAACTGACACTGGATAGTGACCGCTATTAAGGAAAAATATTAATAATAAATACTACGTTACTAACAACAGCTATAAGACGTTATAGACTTATCAGTATTTTAAGTTACAATAAGAACTAACAGTTTTTAATCAGGTAAGCCCAGACAATCATTGATTCTAAAATATAAATATATAAATATAGACATCGGATAATGGGAACTTATCTAAAATTGTTTAGAGACCTACCAACAAATGTACAATGGTTCTAATACAAAATGCACGTAAAAATGTCTAGTGTTAATCTATATAAATGTAGTGACATGTATAGAAATATAAAAAAAAACTACAATTTAATTTAAATTGCAATGTCACTGCTTCATTTTGCAACAATTTATAGGGCCTAAAATTCATCATATTCAGCTTCCAGCGAAAACTACTTGAACACTGTTGTGTTCAAGTAGTTTTCGCTGGAAGTTGTTGTACAGCAGTGTAGCTTTTATAGTAAATGTTAATTAATTTACATTAATTATGTAGAATTTATGAAATAAATTCTATGTAAAAAGTAATTTATTCGTCAAATTTTATTTTAAGGCATTCATAACAGGTCCCTTAGCCTGCAATACAACTACACTAGCGCTTGATCCAGTCCTCCATACGTTTTTCGTAAGTTGATTGAGTTATGGCCTTCAACTCCTTCAGCGAATTTCTTTTATATCTGCAATGGACTCGAAACGCCTTCTTCGAATTGATAATTTTAGTCTCGGGAATAGGAAAAAGTCAGACGGACCTATATCAACGGTGGTTGGTCGATGACATTCGTCGAGTTTTTGGCTAGAAACAAGGTTTACACAATAGCACCAATTATGACTTTTTGCTTTATCATGATGCAAAATTCATGAATTGTTACTCCTACAAATCCGGCCGTTTTTGGTGGATATTCGCCTAAACAAAGTTCTTTGTTTATCGTTAGTCCCTCTGGAAGAAATTCGTAGTGCACCACAACTGCGGCAGATCGAATCGAAGAAAATTATCGGCATAATTTTAATTTTCGAGCGATTCTGACGGGGTATTTTGTGATTCGCCTCGTTTTCGAGATGCCATTCCGAAGACTTGGCTTGTTTGCAAATCGTACTCGTGAACCCAGTGTCTCATGACCAGCTATTATTATACGTTTCGTGTAGGTGGAGTCCGTAAAAGTTCGAGAAATCATGTCTAGAGCAATCTCCTTTCGACGAGCCTTTTGAACAGAATCGTAGACACTCAAAATACAAAGACAGCGATTTTAATAATTACACTGAGTTACAGATAGCGCTCAAGTTTCCCTGGTAAATCTGAATACAGTGCTACCAACTTACAGAAAAAAGAGGTCGTTAAGTTAGCTGCGGGTCATGAAATTTGTAAATTCCCGGTACTTTTTGCATAGAGTAGTATGTTGTTCAAATTTACACATTGACTTACAAATAAATGGACGACGGGTCTAATACAAAAACCACGAAAAAAATGTCCCAACTCAACCTATTTAAACGTAGTGACATGTAAAGGAATATGAAAAACCTAAAACGTTGAATTTAAATTGTAATGTCATCGCAGTACTGTCTAATTTTGCTTGCAATAATTGAAAGGCGCAAAAACACCACATTCAGCTTCTACTCGAAACTTACCAAAATGCACTATATGTAGCTTCTAGTGAAAAGTACTTGAACACAGGTATAATGGAGTAGCCTTTATTATTTATAAACAAATTTTATATGTAAATGTTGAATTTTATACAATGCCAGTCATTACGACCTAGGGTGTCTGATTTTTTTTCTTGAGTTTCGAGAAATCTCGTACCCGATTTCTCTATTATTCGCGATTTTTTTTAAAAACCGTAAAAAATCAGCTCTATCAACTATAAAACTAAATCTGAACTTTTCGAAAGTTGTTGAGTTGTGCCCCGAAATTAATTCCATCGTTCTCGCTCCCAGGTTCGATTCCCGGTAGAACCAATTTTGGAAATGAACTTTTGTAAATTGCTTCTGCTCTGGGATTCTGTTGCTCTGATACTCACGGGGAGTATGTACACAGAGTTCCCTAGTTTCAGACCAGGTGATTGTCTTACAATAGAATAACATCTTACAATAAGACCAGAACCATTTAGAAAAGTTAATTTGTTAAATTGATCCTACCGGTATCGAACCCGGGAACTTCTCATCCAGTGCCCACAGTGCAAACCGTCAGGCTATCAAGGTTATACTATTTGTATTATTATGCATTGTTTGCATGTGAAAGCTACAAATTGCTTAAACTTAAAAAAAAAATCCTATTTTATTTGCAGTGTCAGTCTGCTTTCATTACCTTCTTTGTTTCTTAAGTTGGTATTTTTTGTCATTCATCCAACTTTTGATTTTTAATGCATTTTGGCGGTGTAAGATGTTCTCTGTTAATACTTGTCACTTTCTCCCTAAGTTCAAGCTATGTTTACTGGATAAATTCCTGTATTCTCTCCTTTCTATGCACAGTTCACTCATTGATATAATCACATACCAAAGCTTTAATATAAATTTAATAAAATTTAATATAATGACTAGGCACCAAAAACCAGTTCTTACTAGCAATGTTGGCAAAGCTGTTTTTTTTTTAATTTTCGTAAGCCTTTGCTGGTTACGTACATACCCGTTTGTCTGAAATGAGCCGAGCAAACAAATTTGTACATTTTCGGGATTAAATGTTCTTCTCGTCGCGATTCAGCCATTGTATTACTCCATAGTGAGCAAAGTATAGGATCTCGAGGAAAACTGAAATAAATACATTTATTATGCCATGCCATAAGAAATGTACCGACGTTTCGATTTTCTTAAATTCAAATTCAACTTAAAGCCAAATTTTCATAATCCTGACAACCGATTCATAATAAAACCGTTATGCTTTAGGGAGTTTTAGATGCTTATTACAAAGAAAAGACTAAGTTAGCTTAGGTTTGTTTTGTAATATTCTAAAGAAAAAACTAAAAAAATACTTTCGGGATTATGGAAATTCATGCAAACGTTATTTCGGGCAAATGTATTTTCGGTCTTCTGATTCGTAACCCCAAGCCGTAGAAAGAGTACAATAATATTTGAAAGTATTGCTAACATGTATTAAAAAATATTTTAATAATGATATTAGCATCAATGAAATTTTTGTTCTAAATATTTCAAACGCTTGTGTTTGAAACAATTGAAATTGACGTGATGGGTCTCGTTCAGTCTTTACGCAAGCTATGAGTCGGAAAGAGACAGTTAGCTATTTCATTATTTTGATTGCTTTTGTAATTTATATTTACGATTAATTTAAATATAAATTAAATACTATATTTGTATACTAGTGCATAAAATAACACTTTTAAATGATAACTATGATAACACAATGTAGTACTTACTGAAAATATGATATACCATCCTGTTTTTTCACTTTAGTTGAGTAATTTTTACAAGGTTTTACTACACAATACGGCATCATTGACAAGCGCGCTGTCAGTCGAACAAACGAAGACTAAAGCGTGAATGACGCTCTGTATACGATTTTAACGCCCTATAAGTTCGGACACTTTTTAGCGAGGACTCTACGTCCATATAATTGTAAGTCAATGAATTTACATAAAGAAATAATAAAGGCATGTGTCATTGACTAGATCAATGGCATGTGAACATTATATCCATATAATTTTTTTTATTCTTACAGCTGTTTTATTGTGAGAGTTAAAAAAAATTAACTAGAAAGTTTCAGCTTTTCCAAATAAGAACAAAATTATCACAACTGTAATTTTATTTACAGTTATGATTTTTTTTCTTAAAAAATTACCTTTAATCGCTCTTATGTAATATTTTCCAAATGCACTTTAGACGTTTTATTTTTCCAGTGCCGATATGTATTTCATTTAAGAGGATAGCATTTTATAATATTGTTGCTGCTTTCAGCGGTAACGCGACGGCTATTGACTGTCCAAGACAGCACTCGTTTATTAACATTTCTGAACTTAATTCTAAATATTTGTAATTTTTAGAGAACCTTAAAGTATAAAATACTGTTTTGCATTTTGAGGTACAAAGAAATATTTAGATTTGTAAGTAATACCATCGGTAATACTGATAATTAAAAGGAGTTTTCTATTTCTCTTATGACCTTTGTCTTTTTTTTAATAAAAATATTGTAAATGCTTTCAAAGTCATGAAAAATCGGTACATACATAGTCTGGTTTTCTTTGGACGAAAATTATCGATTTGTTTCCGTATAATTTTTTAAACAAGATAATAGAAATGAAAATTAATATACTCGATGTTATAACCACATTCCAATATATTGTTCTCAAGATCGATTATATAATGCAAAATTATCTTTTTACTTTTTACAGCACGACATCACGATGATGTAAAATCAAAATTAATAAATTAAATACCTGGTCTCGCTTGTAACTTTAAGTTATCTCAATACACAAACTTGATGCCTCTTTAGAACTTGTTTCACGAGTTATTAAAAAACCGAGATTATGCTGCGTCCGCACTTTCTCTTTTAAAGCCTGAAGGATCCTTGATTCTAAATTCCGACAAGTAGAACGACTATGGGGAAAAAGAGTATTATAACCAATTTCTGGCATTGATCGTTACGAATATCGAAATACGTAGTATAATGAAATGCTCATTAAATCAAACCACTTTCATTAAAAACCAATTAGAGTATAACTGGTAAATAAGCGAGTGAAAGTATCGCTTCATCGAATCGCATCGCTTTTTTCACATTGTCCGATTAGTCAAGGACATGTAATACACGAGAATTAATATAATTCCTTTTATTTGTAAGTCAATGATTCCTTTCATAGTACTAAGCATATATTTTATTTTATTTGCGTACATGTATTGCACATATGTTATTTTTTTATATTATATTTCACTTATGTAATAGAGAGTACGTGTACCCAATTACAGTATCGCAGAATACGATATTCATGCGTTTTTCTCAAATTTCAATAACTGACTTAATAATAGATCCACTATACAAAAGCGAGAGGAGTAGGTACGCAACATCAAGGCAACCACCTTCGTTTTTATATAACAATTTTTTTCTTCTTCTTAGAGTGCTTCTACAATCCTGAAGGTTGGCTGTCAGCTTTCCGTATTTGTCTCTATCAGCAGCCAACTGGAACAGCTGTTCAACGGAGGCAATGCCACTCGCGGATGTTCCGCAGCCACGATTTCTTTCTTCGCCCAAAGCGTCTCTTTCCCTGGATTGTGTCCATCATTATGAGCTGTAGCAGCGTGTATCTATTGTTCCTGATCACGTGGCAAAGGTATTCTCTTTTGCGGCCTTTTGATAGATGGCATCATTTTTCGGGACATATGAACTTGCTGAAGCGCGGTTTCGTTGGTGATCCTCTGTGTCCAACCAATGCGCAATATGCGACGGTAGCATCACATTTCAAACACCTGCAGGCGTCTTGTAGTGTCTTCTTTTAAGGTCCACGTTTCGCAGCCGTACGTGATGGCCAGATGTAACATAAATGTAGTCTGACTCGGAGCTTTATGTTCAGTTTACGACAGCACAGAACTTTCCTAGTTTTGTTAAAAAGACTCGAGATTTCTATCTGGGTCTTGATTCCCTGATCAGATTCCCATGCTTCATTTACCGAACCCCCAAATACTTATACAACATATTAATATAACTCAAAATAAGACTTATACGCACAATGATATTACTCATGTATTCGCCTTAATTTCTTACTAATCACCCATTGACTTATAATCACCACAATTATGTGGGTATTAGAAATGTGTAGGTGTCAATCCATCTACTTTCTACCACGGTTCTATTTATGTACTTTATTTGTAATGCAAAAATATTTCCACGAATGTCTCCAGACTTTATTTTTTTAAATTCCATGTAATCGATTCTGGGGGCCTACTATGAGCTTATAAGCGGCCAGCTAAGTTCCATGAAATTCACTTGACTTGGTAAAACTGAATTGTTTTAATTCGTATCATGATTTATACAAAGTTGAACGGGAATGGCATGACAGGATGATGAGTTTTACTTTTTAAACGTTAATTATTGTCTCTGGCTGGCTGGCTGATATCTAATAAAAGCGAGATGGAACTACATACTAAATCATATGAAAGAAATAGACAGATTATATAATATAATATGAGAATAATTAAATATTTTTCATTGACTTACAATTATATGGACGTCGGGTCCGCGCTAAAAAGTGTCCGCATTTGAAAGGCGCTAAAATCGTATACAGAGCGCCAAACTCCGCTTTAGTCTTCATTTGTTCGACTGACAGCGCGATACTGCGATGACATTATAATTTAAATTTCGAATAGGTTGACTTGGGACATTTTTTTCGTGGTTTTTGTATTAGACCCGTCATCCATTTATTTGTAAGTCAATGATATTTTTATTAATTTTATTATTGACTTATTGTGTTGTTTTGTAATATCGGCAACTTTTCAATCATACTTTACAATTTGTCGTACGACAAAATTACATGTCATGTCTAGTCATTATCATTGAAATGAATAAGGTGAGTTTGTAATTTGATAACATAATTGGAAAGTATCTTGTATTGGTACATTTTCATTGATTGTAATAAAGTCAAATTTGGCAATATTCAAAAGTCATTTTGCGATATTCGCTAAGTCAATAAAATTATTAAAATTATTAAAATTCCATTTAAAAATTGCAACAACATTCATGCCAATAATTTATCAACAAAACTTTAAAGATTGGAAACCCGAACTAAAACATTTCAAATACGCTCAATAGTTAATAGTATTTGGGCATTTCTCCAAAGTCGTAATTTTCTGTGTCCATGCACTAAACTCCACTTATTTATCAAAACAAAAATCTTCAAAAAGTAGAGTGTATAATATAGGTTGAAAACTAACTGGAGAACACAAAATCTTCCCAATAAACTTTTCGGACCTAATGGAAAAAAAAATCAGAAATGCCTACAACCTGACACCGGTGACGTGTCCCGAATGCAGAATCTAACACCATCTTACAGACACTTTTGTTGAAACAACTGGCCTACCTGATTTTATATTGGCTCTATAATACGTTAAAAACTTTTGCGGGCATGGGCATAACAACTCACGAAAGTTATATCGCAATCGACTGTGGAACGCAGACAGGACAAACATTCAGATATTTATTTTTAATTTATAAATAAATGTATTATATATATCAATCACCCATTTTGAAAATAAATACAATATTATGATATATATGATCATTATATAAGAGTTTAATAATTTATTTATGTAATTATGCCATGGAGCTTATATCAGCAAATTTACGAATCTTGTTGGATGATCAATACGTACCTATGACTCGGTTATATCGTATTCCAAAGTTACAATTACCATGACAGGGACAATATTACTATAAAAAACCCTGAAAAAATTGTCCCATCGTGCAAAAAATGCAGATTGCGCCACACGTCGCCGACAAGTGCAATTAGTGTAGATTAGTTATTTACGTGTATATTGTTATATTGTACGTATGGTTAATCCTTAAGGTTTATATGGGTCATGTGGCCTCAAATAAATGTCTAAATAAAAAAATAAAATGTTAAAACAATGATAACTTTCTTAATTTATGATTGCACAAATATTTTAATAAATATAGAGCACGCGATTGGCTTCTTCAGGCTGTGGTGTGACCTCATGAAATTCAAATAGAAGATAATGAGGAATTTAAAATTAGCCAAATTATTTTAATATAGTGATCACATAGGTATTTTATTACCGGTATACGGTGTGTTTTTTAACCGGTACGGTATGGGGAAATCCGAAACTATTTAGAGATACAGTGAAACAGTCTTAGGAACCATTAAGTATTTTTGTGTGAAAACAATTTTGGCATAGTCGATATACTTTCGAGATCACGTTGTCAGTGTGATTGTAACACACTATTTATTATTAATTTTTTTTTTTGAACTAGGAAAGACATTAACACCATTGATACAAGTCCTGCTAACACCCTTTTATAATACTTTGTATACTTGACGTATAGTACCTAGGTTGAAGAAAATTTTTTGTTACCAAGTAAAAAGTCTTAGAAGATACGAAAATGTGTATAAACAGTATAGCAATACGAGCTCGGTCAGGGCCACAATTCTACGTTGAAGGATCATCAGACCAATCCCAAGTATCACTCGATCGCCCTCCGCCGTTAGTCGCCACGCGTTGCGAACGAGGGATATTCGACACTTCGTTTCTTACCATCTGTACTCTTCATTTACATATTGATTCTTAATGTATAAATTAAAAATAAACTATAAGGTGTTATCAAGCTAATACAATAGTTTTTACCATTGATTTCATCTACATGAAATCGTCGGTGTTTTGTGAAAATATTTACATCCTGTTTTAAAATTCACCTTTGGTATTAATTTAAGTTTGATTTAAAATGGAATTTTAAAACGGAACGTAAATATTTCAAAACAGTCGTTAATACAAAACTAGCGGCTCTGAAAAAAAAAATCAACGAAATTTCGATTACACCCTTTCTATAGAAAGCCGACGAATCTTCATGTCCACTGAACTTGTGACGAAGTTATTGAAATTATGTGGACAAAAACGTTACAGAATACAATACGAAACAAATGGCCTATTTAGGTACTATTCGTTATGGATAACTTATTCGTTATTTACCTAAACTTAAATAACCAATAAATTAAGCATAACGAATGGTACCTAAATAGGCCGCGTCGGGCAGAACTATAAAAAAATAATACATTTCGCGACAGTTCAACAAAAAATTTCGCACACTTGCTGTAATGAAGTCACATCAGCAAAATAACAACTTTTCAATAGAGAGGTTTAGAGTAAGGTCACTATCTTGCATACTAAATTTAATTTAATTTTTATTTTATCTATTTATGAATTTTTTGACGATTGGTTTTACAAATTTTATATTTTAATGTAATTCTGTCAAATCAATTAATTGCAAAAAAATGCAGTAACAATGAGATTAGTTTTGTTTTCCTTTAAGTTACTTTTTTAAATTTATGTTATTTATTAGGTTTTAATTTTAAATTTTTTTATTCGTTTCTAATTTTTAATTTTAATATACTATTTCTATGCATATTTGTTGGGTCCGAAATAAATGATTTGATTAAAGATTCTACGAACAAATTAGTCAATAACTTATATTAATAGGACTTATTCATAAAACGACTTCTCTTGAAAAATCCTGGTCGCTATAACTTTTGTGTGCTTAAATAGGAGAATCATAAAATTTCACATATGCATTTGTTTATTCCAAATAGGCGCCTTGACGTCGAGTTGCGGACACCAGCCCGTTACACCAAGTACCAAGTAGTTTATTTCAAGTACCTAGTTCATATTATTTCCATGACTTTCATGTTTGTCGGTACGTCAATGATTTCATGTGACATAAACTCTTTTGACGCATGATCAGATTTGGCTTTGTTTGGGATACTCCCACTGTAACAAGATCCTTCGCGGTGCGGAGAAAAAGAAAATCCCACTGTTTGATTATGGGTCAAAAAGGTAAACAGTAGCTATTTTTAATGATTTTTTTTATTATGTCAAGTGACGGGGCGAACGAGTTGTGGGCTTGGTGGTAAGCGACACGCTTGTCCAAAACAGTTGCAGTGCCACTTAGAGCTTTAAATCACAAAGATCTGAGGGGCACTACCTCTGCACCCGTCACCCTGATACATAAGTTGACAAGTCCCAAGTGCCTGTAATTTCACCAACACCCTTACCCTTCAAAACTGGAACGCAGTAATGCTCACATCACGGATTGCCAGCAGAAATAGGTAAGGTCGCAGTACTTCTCTATACGAACTCTTTCACAGGTAGCTCTACTGCTACTAAAAAAGCAAAATTTGCAAAAAAATATGGCTCACAAAATTTCGTATAAGTTGTAATTATTTTTCTCATATCTTTGTTACTTTATTTAAGAGCGGTCACTGAAGTTATAAATTAGTTTTCGTTTCACAACTAGGTAATTTTATTTCCAGCCGTCGCCACTACGAAACCAAGCAATGGGAGATGAGGAAGCTGCTACACTTGATGGACAATTTTACGAGTTCGCAAAATTTTTTGACCTCAAAAAAGAGCGAGATGGGACTTTAATAACACTTTATAGGAGCGACTATTGGCTGCGGCAGGCGAAGGTGTTAGACGACAGAAAACTGACTATGACAGACACAGGACTTATGTGGTGGAAATATCCGTAGGTATTTTAAGAGCTGACACATTTTAAACTCAAATCTGGTTGCGGTAGTATATACTATCAATTGACGTCAATATTCGAGTCGCGATGATAGTAAAATAAATAACATGTATTAAAATATTATTGCAAGTCCTATATAATTTTAAAAACACAGATTTCGCAATTATTTATTGCATTTTTGTAGGGTTTCGTAATCCGACTTGGGTTTCTTAGAGTATGGTGACACTGTACGCCATTGTCATTTGCTCCTTCACTAACTCGTTAATTTAATAAAGATATTTATTCATTCTCGCAAAAGGACGTCACTTTAAGTGAGAGACTGGAGTCCTAGAATAGATAACTGGATCTTTGCTACAGATGTACAGGCTCCTACCCTACAATTCATATATTTTTAAGAAAAAGTAACTACGCTAGGTGAACGCTACGCTATAATAGTATAATAATCTACAATAATGGTGACGAGTCGAGAGTGTGTGCGTGTGCATGTACGCTCGTTGGTACGTGTATATACATGCATATGTAAGTATTGTGTGTGCGTGTGTGTATGCATAAGTGCATGTGTGCGTGTGTGTATGCATACATGCGTGTGTGCATGCGTGTGTGTGTGTGTGTGTGCGTTTGTAAATTCTTTAACAAGGTCACAGAAAACATCAATAGCGTTCTGGGACCTTTACCAAGCATCAAAGATGTGTTTTAGTATCGCTACCTTCGCATCGCTAGTCGATCTACCACTAGTAAATCCGTATTGTTCACTATGAAAAATATGATTCCTACCGAAATAGGTCAGTAATTGAGTCAGCATAACCTTTTCGAATATTTTACTTAAAGCTGGTAAAATAGGACCTATAGTTGCTAGGATCAACTTTCCTACTGCTTTTAAATAACCTTGCTGTATTTCATAAAATGGGGAAAAACACCTTCGTCAACGCACCAAATAAAAGCTACAGCTAAATGTGGGGAAATTAGATCAATAACTGAGTCTATAACTTTAGTTGATATGTCCCAGAAATCTTCAGTTTTTTTAACATGTATTGATTTAAAAGCTTTTATGTTATGTCTTGTGGTTTAACATGACGGAAGTTAAATAAACTGCCACAAACGTTAACATTTTGCTTTAGGAGATCAATAGCACGAGAAGGGGGAAATTTAATGATTCTGTAGTGTTCACAGCAATTTCCGAAAAGAACGATTCAAAACCTTGGGCTATCTTGGCGATCTTGTCTTTAGATTTTATAAGTTTGCTGTCTAATTCTAAAACTATATCTCTATCGTGTTGTTTAACATTGCCTGACTCTTTATTTATTATGCTCCAAGTAGTTTTAGATTTATTTATCGATTGTCTAATTTTGTCGCTGTGCAACTTAACCTTAGCAGCTACACATACTTTTTTAATTCCTTCTGTGGTAATCAGTCTGCAGAGAAATTGTTCTACCTTCTTGCTCAATTTACAATTAAAAGATACCAATTGGCCACTATGGTCTGATCTTAAGCAATTTATTATTGATTTAGACACTGCGTCTGTATTACAAAAGATGTTATCAATACAAGTAGAAGAGGAGGAAGTGATGCGAGTTGGTTCTAAGAAAAGATTAATCAATTTAAAACGAATTAATTTACATTGAAATCTCCACATATTACTACGTTTTTTTTGAATCCGCTTTAAACTATCTTCCATAATTAATTCAAACTCGTTAAAAGTAGCAGAGGGGCGGCCTGTATACACATAAGACGACAAACTGATCTAATTCCACACATGAAATGTCAATAGTTCGTTCAGTAGAAAGATATGTGATATCCTTACGCTCTTTAAATTTTAAGTTACGTTTAATAATAATCATGGATCCGCCTCTACTTAAGCTCTTTCTTTTGAACGAACTGACTATTACATAATTTTCTATGTTGTTAAGTGCTTCGTAGTCTTTCAGCCAGTGTTCTGTAACACAAAACACGTCATCGGAAATATCGTGCAAAAAAAGGCTTATTTCTAATGTTTTGCCAGAAAAGCCTTGATGTACTACATGGAAACGATTAGACTTTTCTATTGTCGTGTTTTTCAGTTTAAATTATGGTTAGTGATAAGTATACTGTTGCTACTTAAAGTAGGAGCATTGTCGTGGGACTGTGTTATATCTTCTATAACAGCGTCCTTATTATTAAAAGATAGCAAACTAGCTATAATTATGTCTCAGATACCTTATGGGTAAAAGTAAATTATCCTCAAAAGGTTTTAAGTTCCTTACGAACTTATTAATGTCAGAACAAAGTATAACGTCACTATGACGGCAACTCAAATTATGAATGTGCGAATTTATGTTATATATATACTTATTAAGAGCGATGCCTAGGTTAGAGCAGTAAGGGAATGCACTTAGTATGATTTTTATAAATAAATAAATTTACACACACCCTTTTTTCACATTTCACATTTCTCATGAATTCTCAAGAACACGTCAATGCTACTATTTACTTCTTTTTTACTAATGTTATAAACGTTGGCTCGATTGTCCATTTGACCTCTGAATCGTGAGCTCTAAGGCTTGTCCCATCGATGCATCAAAATCTCGAAAGAACATTTGCTCTAACGATCAACAGCCAAAAAAGTGATTTCTCGAAAAAGGGGACGGAGCCTCTTGTTCTCGCCTTGAAATGTAAAAAAAAATACAAATTTAAATATAAAAATATAATATTTTCTAGAACATTCTATAAAAATTTATATTTTCCGAGCACTTATATTCCATCAAACGGCATTCTATCTTAAGTAGGTAACGCCCTTAAAAACTACCTTAAAATGGAGAGATATTATCTATACATCGTTTTTATAAATTAACTTAGGTGATCGTTAATTGTAAAAAACATTTAGCAAAAACCAAAATTTCAATTTCTATCATTACCATTATTTGAACAAATTAACTTTATTGCTTTAAAAAAACAATAGAAAACCTCAAATTAAAAAATAGTTTCATAACATAAAGTATGTTTTTTTTGCGTATGATTTCATTATCCGATTGCGATAAAACATCAGTTGTTGTGCAAGAAGAGGACAGGCACCAGTCCAGCAGTGGGAAGTGTATGGATTTAGTAGTGTCGACTCCTGTATTTGAGTTCGAATAAAAAAAATTTTGCCTCTTTTCCAGAACTTCCAAGAGCATAGTATTCAGTTTCCGTGTTAGAACAAACCACGTTTTGTTATTTGTGACTGTACCAATTCACAATGCAAAAGCCGAACCTACTCAGAAACCCTGAATATGACTTTCGATCAGTCTTATCCCCGCCCAATCTGCGTCGGATGAGATTTCAACTTTACACTACCTCTCTTAAAATTGAGTCCGTAGCTAGTTGTTCCTGAACGATACCGCAGAACACGTATAGCTGCGAGCCTATGCGATTAATTATAACAAGTGTTATATTGGCTGAGTTTACTGCGCGCAAATGCAATATCTGGACGTGTGTAAACAGCGAGATACATTAAACTACAACTAAGTTTCTGTTTTGGAAACCGCGTACCGATTATTTCTGCTTTCAATTGACCTCCGTTAGGAGTCGCTATTTTGTAACAATCTTATAATGATGATGAATTCATAATTTTTTTAATAGATGGACATCGGGTTTAATACAAAAACCACGAAAAAAAATGTCCGAAGTTAACCTATACACACGTAGTGACATGTAACGAAATATAAAAAACTAAAACATTTAATTTAAATTGTAACGTCATTGCAGTACTGCCTAATTTTGCTTGAAACAATTTAAGGGCCCAAAAACACCATATTCAGCTTCTACTGGAAATTTAACAAAATGCATCATATTAAGTTTCGACTGAAAATTACTTGAACACAAGAGTACTGGAGTAGCTTACTCGTAAATATGAATTAATTTTTATATATATTATTGTCGAATTTTGTACAAATTATAAAATTTTGTACAAATTGTACAAGGTATAAAGAGTTGGGAGTATAAAGATACATACATACAAATATTACTACTAATGTGAAAATAAGCGTGTACTATAAGAAATGTACCGATATTCCAACTAAACGTAAACTCAAATATTCGTAATCCCGGAAACCAATTTACAGTAAATCCGTTACGCTTTCGAGTAATTTTCATGCTTTTCACAAATACAAAATTAGTTTTTGTTTTGTAATCTTCATAAAAAAATACATTTGATATTATGAAAATTGGAGCTAACGTTTTCGGGCAAATGTATTTTCTGACTTCTGATAGGTAATCCCAAGCCGTAAAACGAGCACAACAATATTTTGTTAGCCATTGCTTACGTTTAATAAAAATATCATTTTAAAAATAGAATTAAAAGCAAAGCGACTCTATAGTTTCTTTGTTCTAAATATTTCAATCGCTTGCGGTTCGAATAATTGAAAATGACCAAGAAGTTTATATAAGCTTCTTGAAACTGACGTAATGGGTCTCTTTCCATCTTTGCGCATGCAATGTTTAGAAAAAGGACAGTTAGCTATTTGATTATTTTGTGTGCTTTTGTAATTTATATTTACGATTCAGTTATATATAATTTAAATACGATAAAACTGTACAAAATAACACTTTTAAGAGAGAACTATGATAACATAATATATTTGTTTAGTGAAAATATGATACAAAATCCATGATAACACAATATATTTGTTTAGTGAAAATATGATACAAAATCCTGTTTTTGCACTTTTCTGCCGTAATTTTTACAAGTTATTATTAGGATGCATGATTGACAACCGCGCTGTCACTCGAATAAACGAAGACTGTTGCGAGTTTGACGCTTTGTATGCGATTTTAACGCCCTACATGTGCGGACACTTTTAGCGCGAACCCGACGTCCATTTATTGGTAGGTCAATGCTTTTACAGATAAAAAGAATAAAAACACAGTGTTAGAGTATAGAGTTGTAGAGTGAGTGATGTAGTGAGTAAATGGAAATAGGAGAACATGAAGGCACGAAGTTAGAGGCTTCTGCCCTCGAATGTTGGAGAACGAGGACAAAGGTGCAGGATCGGTGAGCAGAGAGAGACACTACTTATGTTTACACAACACAACAGATATAATAGACAGTAGCAATAGAACAAGTTACAAAGCAGGTAGGTACTTAACGGATGTTCTCACTATCTCGCAAGTTTTGCGAGTCCTGAGAATTGTGACACCAGAATGACTTATACAACAGGAGCCTTTGTGTATTGTTAGTGTAATAACACACCAGGCGGAAAGTCTTATAACTTTCAAACTTGGGTACATATATATTTTTATATTCTTTAGATCAATTGTTAAGGTAGGGTCTTTTAGGTAGGGTATTTTTTACTTTACGAAAAATGTCGTTAGCAAACGCACCAACTCCAATGTGTCCATACTTAAAATTGACGTCAAGTCACGATCATGACATCATACGAGTTCCAAGCCTACATCTCAGATTTTTTTTCTCAAGCGATTAGACATTATACCCATAATTGTATAAGTTTTATAGTAATTTTGTGAGCAAATAATTATTAATTTTAATACAATTATAATATATTTACCTAATAAATTATCTTAATCACCATTGCCTGAAAAAATATTTACTACCAATAAGTACTAGACTATTATTAATATGAACACTACAACATTTTGTAATGGACATAATGTTAAGTGCTTTCTGTAATATTTACGTTTGTTGAACTCAGGTACCTGTCTTTTATATACCTACCTAAGGTACCTGTATTATATATTTCAGACTATAATATATTTTTAGATATTACTTATTTTGTATCGTTTACAGTGGCTAATACTGGATTTATTGTTACTATGAAAATGTAACCCATAGTCAGATTTTCACAGCGCCGCAAATTATAAACTTATTGTGTTAGGTACCTCTTTTACCGTGTGTGCTATTTTTCGAATCCACCACATTATTATCACGAATAGAATTTTAATTTTAAGTTGTCATAACGCTACTGGAATTTCCAGAAATTGCTAGAAATTTCCTGCATGGAGCGATATATATTTTAAGTGTATTTCATTTTATTAAAGTAATAAAGCACACACCAATAGATACCAATAGAGCAACCCTGTATGGCGGGTGCCATGGACACACACAGAAACCACAAATTACACCCAAATTCACGAGAGAAATAAATGTAGGCCATACAAATATTTCTCCCTGCCCGGAAATTGAACCCGGTTCTCCGCGTGGTAATCGAGCATGGTAACCGTTCGGCCACAGAGGCAATTATTAAGTACTTTAAGAACTCTTTATTCTTTATTCTTTAAGAACTCTTTATTTGCATATTATTTATAATCGGACTATCTTTGTTGCAGTAAAACGGAATTAAACTGGGACGAATGGTATGGGATATTAACGGATTTATGCGTGATAAAGTCTTTGGACCAAGAATTTGTTGAACTAGCCCTGACCAACTGCGGCCTGCCCGGAACCTCTACCGTCATTGTGCCACAATACAGATCATTCTTCGACACTTTCAAGCCCAAATCCAAATTACTTGTCGGATAATTTTGGTCATTAAAATTAAGTTTTTATTGAATGTCAGGATATTTAATCACCATGAGATTCAACTATTTTTTTGTGAAATTACTCCACTAGTTTGTTATAATTACTTACACAAAGACCCATCGAGTATATAACCAGAAATAGAGACGAGACGTCATTTAATTTGAAAAGTATTCTGCCAAATCATTTCGGTGACAACTGCACTCCGATTGGTCAGCCCGTATTCGAAACAATGGATGCGTGTCGATTGTGCACGTTGTTAGCTATACAACGTGCACACTAGTTGCTCGCAATTCCATCTCCCTTTCCACAATGTACTAAGAAAATATTTTTGTATGACTGTATCATCATCATCATCAACCCATTAAAAGTCCCACTGTTGAGCCCTTCGCTCCTTCGCTCAGGCGAGGTTTTAGGTCATAATCCGCCACGCTGCATGCGTGTTGTGGATTTCACAAGTTTTCGGTTGTAAACATTCTTTGGTGTGCAGGTTTCATCACGATATTTTTCTTCATTGAAAAGCTCATGGTAAATGGGTCACGTAAATTCCCGGATTCGAACCCACAGCCTATGTTTGAGAGGCTGTAGGTGAAACCATTAGGCTGCCACGGCTCCTATATATGGATGACTGTATACCAGAAATAAATGTATCATTATCTTTGTAATATTAAACTTACCCGCTGAGTTAGCGAGGTCGACGTACTGCTCCACACATGCCGCTTGCATTGTAGATACGCCATTTTGCCCCTTCGAACCCGTCGTTGTCAGGCTCGTCTTGACGTCCTAGTAAAGACTCCGCAATCGCTGATCAGCTAGCTGCAAAAAAAATCTTATCAATCTTTGAAAGATGTAGCAACATTTTGCAATGGCAAGGTTTAAAACCGACTTGAATTGCCAAGGTTAATAATATTTTTTTATTTATTTTGGTCTGTAGATGGCTAACAGCCTCTCCTTTTTATTTCTGAAACCATGGGCGGAAGTCTACAATATTTATCCGAAGTAATAACGATAAAAGCAGGAAAATATAACAAAGTTTCGTTCTAAAATTTAATATTTTAGGCCACGGGGGAGACGAAAATTCAAACATCTATTTTATTTTTATTCTTTAATTTACCAAAAATAACACTTCTGTCAAAATAACTATACAACAAATAACATGAATCAATTAAATGGCACTTATACATAACGTTAATAGATAACCTAATTTCAAACAGCGTTTATATCGGCGACGTAGCATGTAGTCGAGCAAATAGCTCAGCTATCGGATCAAGTCATTGCAACGCTGTCCAAGTCTTTCCAGAAAAGAAGCTGTAAAACCTACGCCAATAAGTCGTCAATTACCTTTAGCCATTTTCCTGACCTGAAAGCAACCATTTGCGCCTTTTTTACATTCTACACCCAAATGATGAAATTTGTAGTATCATACGTATAATACTTTCCCATATCTTCAACATACATTTCACTAAATGTCAGCCCTACGTTGGCACTGCTCGGCTCCTCGACTAAATCATTAACATATACGTTGAACGAGTCAGTAGGGCAGAGATCACTCTGTTTTTTACCGCACTTTAAAGTTGTCAGACAAGACTCTCCTCTAATATTGCTTTCCTGATGGCTGCACCATAAAGTCTATAATTCAGCGAGACCTTTCTTTAGGTACACACAGCTTTCCCCCACAAGATGGAATAGTTACGAGCCACCAGAGCAGTTTCGAGAAATCGTTTGCTTGGCTGTACTAGCAATATCCCGATTTTGTTCTTTACTGTACAGTTGTACCCATCGTAATTTCGACTAATTTTGTTGGAAGATATAATAACTTTGTGCGCACAGATTGACAAGGCAGTCTACATAAACATCGTTATACCGGCCGCCAACATAAATGCTCTACACTTAATCTCCTCAAACGAAGTACAGAGCATTTCCTTGGCATGAAGTGTCTTTAATCCCCACATTTACTAACACGTGTAGACGTGTTATTTGACTGCTTTTAAATTTTAAAATTATTTTTTTTTAATATGCACATTTATTGTTTTACTTTCTACTTACTCAGAAACACTACGAACACTTCTTAACTATTTTGTATAATTCTAAAATTTTATAAAATTACTAAAATTCTATAAAATTATCCCTTTCTTTGTGTTTAACCAATATTACCAAAGAACTCCCTTATATAAATGTTTTACATGGTAGGTTCAATCTACCAATTTTCTATAGTTACTAAATGAATATGAAAACCGCTATCAGCAAAATACGTCCAATGTTATTCTATTAAAAACCAATTGTCGTCTATCGATAATTTCAAAGTTCATATTTTTTAGTGCAATTATAATATACTTCATCACCATTTTGTATACCTATCAGATTGTTGTTTGTTAAGGTTTTTATCACAGTCAATATAATATCTTCGATATAATTTGGTTCACACACTTAGCAACGAGAGGGAAGTGGTCAGACTAATAGCAGCCTCAGTCGTGATGCAGTGGTCTAACCAACGGTGAGAGTCATGCGCCTCCTTAATGTCGGAATAGGTGTCCGAGTCCGAACCAAATCCGAACGAATATGCTCAATTCGTACTATGACGCGACTTTAATATTAAAGTAGGTAATGTTGATCTTATGTCAAATTTAGCAATCTTAAAATAGTTACTCGGACGCAGTGGAAACAGCAAATATTTTCGAATTTATTGTCTAAGTATCGATTTGTAATGATTAAAAGTTAAGTTGAACTTACTTACTTATTTATTTACATAAATCTCTACAATGTTTTGTTTATTTCTTTTACTTAATATTACATAGGAAATAATTTCTCGTTAAATAAACATACGCGATGTTTATTTCGTAAAATTATAACAGCGACATCTATATGCTCCTTGGCAACACTAACAATTGACACTAGACTATAATTCCGAATTCATAACGTAACTATCAAGACTCAGCTTGTTTTATTTATTTTTCTTCATGAAAATGCGGAAAAATAATTGAAAACAACGTAATTTTAATAGATTTTGTTATTATATACCTTTCTTTTTTAACAGTTAATTTTTTCTGATTGTAAATAACATTATGTGCTTAAACATTATACTACGATAAGACGATTCGGAACACCAAAAAAGAAAGAGATGGCATTATATAATTAATATAGCGTTATTTCTTTCCTATTTTTAGTAAGGAATAGACAATATTAGAAAATCATTCGTTCTTTCAATCACTTTCACTTCACTTTTTATTTTTATGGCTCCATCAATATGAGAACTGATGATTTTGCCAATGTCACAGTTGAAAGAAAAAAAAACGAAACAAAAAAATGAAACTTTAGAAATAATGCATTACTTGGTTGACAGGTTTGTCACGGTAGGAATATGAGTAAAATTATAATAAGCTTACTTGAAGCTTACATTGAAATAAGATTGTTTTTGGAAAGATTATGTTAGGCCCCCAGGTGTTCGATGTCATTTGTATCGGTAGGCATGCAAAAGCTGAACACATTTGTAAACCTAAACCTTATAATAAGTAGCAATAATTACAATAATAATTTAATGTTGTACTAAACTAGGTTCAGTAATACTGGGATTAAGCTTGTGAATGGAATTGGATCCTCGCCACGAAGGGCCAAACTGCTGGAAGCGTTCTCACTTTGAATAGCTATGCAAATACATAGAACAAGGTAGGTGTTAGTCGTTAGTGTCCCTGTCGGTCCATTTATTTCTAAATTGTCACTTTATAGAAAAATAGACTGGACCCCATAAACCGCAAATGCTTGTTGCGAGGTGTAACCAGCGCTCAACTGGCAGGAAAAACCCTACGCGCTTACATCTTTGACGTAAAGATACCGACGTAGAGAATAAGTCAAAATGCAAAAAAAAGAAATTATTTCCATACAAAATATTTACTATATAGATTTTAAGACTTTCGTGGTTATTCACTAAATGAATATCACTAGTATCAGGTTTCTTACCACGGTATGACTTCTTTTTATTTTCCCGATATTTCGGAACGGTTGCACGCTCCAAAATATTTACTCAAATTTTTTTATGCTTATCGATATCAAGTTCATTTCCATCCTATCTCTAGTACCGATAACAAGCAGAATTACTTTCCTATACACGTTTTCATTCTGTGGTCATTCGATCATTCCTGCAAAATTAAACAGTTAGGTAATTTCAGAGTTACAAAAAGAAAAAATATTTTCCCTTCATTTTCATATCTATAATTTGATAAAAACGTAATCACAAATATAGGATTACCTATACCTGTACAGCTAGGTAGCTGCTACTGCTTCTGTGCCTGCTGCTACTTACAATCGGGATTGTGCACATTTATTGATAAATGCTCGATATTTGCGGTATTTTGAGCAATATACTTAAAATTTACCAACTTAGATAGATGTAGGTAGATACTTTTTATTACATTAACATTCACTTCACGAACATTCACATCACGTAGGTGCTGTCTCTCGAATGACAAATTTGAAACTCATCTTTGATTTTATTATTGTTAAACATGACAGTGTGTCGCTATATCTCTAGTGTGACAAAAAAGAAGTAATGCATTATTCTAGTTTTTTTAATTCACTTTAAAACTATAAATCTGCCCAGCTTAAACGTTTTAAAAACAACAGCTGAGTTGCTTTTTCGGCGTACAGTCGGTTTCTGGAACAAAGAATATCAGCATCGATGAATGAATCAAGGAATGCTAAAGGGGATATTTTAATTTACGCAGATTAGATTAGATCCTCGGACGTGGATGCTGCAACTCGCAAAACTGGTGTGGTGGCAAAAAAGAGCACGAGAGGCGTTGCTAAACAACTTAGTACCAAATACATATCTACAAGGTATCAGATAGTGCAACAGAAACTTAAAAGCTTATTTTTGGTAAATTTGTAAAAAGTCACATAATGAAAGTAGTTGTTTATGATGTTAGTAATATAATATAGTTCAGACATTGTTAGTATTTTACAAATAACCCTGTATACGATAAACCTAATTATTAGTAATTTTAAAGATATAGGTGAATAAGACAGCTTAGTTTTGATGCTCTGCGTTTTATTTCCTGATTAGCCTCATCTCTAGTACGAACTAAGTACGAATGAAAACTATGAGGCTTAGAGCAGACGACAA